CCAGATTACTTCGTACCTCATAAAAGAGATAAGAGATAGAGTATATATAAAGCATTTAAGGATGAGCCAGTTAGCTTGAATATGCTTGTAAGTAAGATACCTTGTTCCGATGATGTTCGCCAGATGACGGACGAAAGCTTAGCACGTTTTATTCAGAGTCAAAGAAGATTGCCTGGGAAACAGCGTCAACAATAATGTTCCAGTAGAGCCAATCAACAGTTGGCTTTCGAATCTTTTCACCAAACACTTTCACTCGAAATGAAAATGATTTCAACAATTATGAAACAAACAATTCATATAAACTCCATTTTTCCTCTCATACACAACAGGAGTAGCCAAGCCAGAAGTTGCTGAGACGACAAGAGATGCTTCCAAAAGCTGTACCGCAAAACGCGTACATGGACCAGGTAAAACGGTGGTTACCGTCCGGACTGCCGACTCCCCTGATTCTACAAGAAGGCCATTTCAGGCATAATTATGGGTTAAGCACAGTCTTTTCAGAATTATACTGCAGCCGGGCCTTACATGCTATCTATAGGTAGGTAGATAGGGAGAGAAAGATATAGATTGTAAGAAAAAGAGGAATAGAGAGAGAGAGAGAGAAAGGGAGTTTCAACATATATATATATATATATATATTTGTCTGAGGGATATAATGTCAGTATTATAGTTGATGAGGGGCGAAACATGGAGGGTGGCTGGAAATTAAAAAGTCTACTACCCAGAGGAAAAAACATGCATTCAATTTCCACCCCTCATTAACGAATTGCGGTCCTGTCTGCTCATTAGCCAACATTATGTTGCTTCGCCATAAAGAAGATGCCACCAATAACAACGTAGATAGCAGAAGATTTGCACAACTCGCGCCATCTGCCATGTTTGGGCTAAATCGGAAAGACTGAAACAGTAAGTCTGGAATGTCCAGTTGTACCATATGTTTGTTGGGACTGTTTCCAAACTATACAAAATTCTTGAAGAGGATCGCTTAAGTGGTATTCACCCTATTTAGTTTAAGGTGATAAATATGAGTAGTAGTTGAATTTTGATACAATTATGTGAGTAGAGTTGACGTTTTTATTGAATTTCATACAGCTTTCTTTCCCAAAATGTGAACTTGACACGTTAACGACTAGTCCACATTGGCACGAATGGCCTTTGGGTCACAGGGCAGATGTGAATTTAAAGCAAGGCCAGGCATTTTGCATATTAAATTCTGTGTTGGTATTGTCGATGAAGCAAACTGATATTTGTACTCGGAAAGTGGGTCAGATTGAGCAAAACATGTCGCACCCAATCTGCTGCTTCTGTGGACCGGTGCTTTTATGGGCCGAAGGGCATTGGAGGCCCGGCTTGCGGACAAACCAGTCCCAGCAATCGTAGATATGAAGACGAAGATGTGTGGTCTTCTGTTTGGTTGCAGTCTACTTTAGCTTATACTGTTGGTACGACCTGGTTTTCGTAACTTGGTCGGAGCTTGAGGGAGACCTTTTGGAAGGTACCTAGTCCCGTGTCCTCTGCCACAGTATTCGTGATTTCCAGCATTGGACCTTTGGATGGGTACATTCCCAATGGTCAAATGCTAAAATCACGAATACTCTGGTACCTTTCAAAAGGTCTGCCTCTCGCTCCGAACAAGTTGCGAAAACAAGGTCGAACCGACAGTCCCAGAGTTGACAGCAGGCCAGGCCTATTTGGTACCGACTCAATCGTCAGTCGCGGACTCTCGTCTCGGCCGTCGGAATTGGGACGAGGCCATAATTGGCGTGGCCTCAGTCATCGCAACGAGTTCGACGAGAGCCCCATAGACTTGGCGTCATGGCGACAAAACGAGCAGGTAACAGACACACCGGTCTACACTACAGGCAGTCCTGTAGACGAGACGCAGGCCCAACTTGATGGGCATGGCAGGCAGCGTCAAATAGGTCCAAAAAGGTGTCTACAGAGCAGGCATAAAGAGGCAGGAAACCAGCCTAACTCGCCTTGACAACGGCCCACATGAGCTACATAACTAGTGCTGTCCTAGCAGTGGTAAGTGGTCCGAGTGGGGGTGGGCGCATGCTTCGGCCTCTTCAATAAGACCGAGTCCCGTTGAGTTGGCCTCTGTCAGGACAGCACAGAGGGATCGTCAAAAGAGCCAGGCCTCCACTCAAAAACACACACACACGCATACATACATACATACAGACAGACAAACATGCACACACATGCATACAGATATGATAAAAATATGTGCTTTTGTGGCAGATGTACTCGACTATTTCGTCAGGTCGGCAGGACACGTGTGGGGAACAACTGTCGTCTGAAATCGCATAACGTTTTGCTCGAAGCGATCACTGTCTTTTCGCTTTAATCTTGCCAGTCGCACATCTTCCCCGTCGCCACTATCACTCTCCTTCTCTCCACCAAGACTCAAATGCACTTTATTATCTCCACAACCGAACCCATCCTCTTCTGCGTCTTAACGCATTTGCACGCAGCTGTCGCCTAGACTCAACTCTTGAAGTGTCTGTCAGAGGTGTTGCTAACTCTCGCGTTGCCATGCCTCTTGGCGTGTGGGACAATGACAAAGCTACCTCCCATCAGTCCATGCCTAAACGTCTTTTCCCAATGCGTGACCTCTCCACAATTAGAAGGGTGTCGTCAACACTGAGAAATCTATCGGCATACTACAGCGCCGATCCCCAAACTTTATTTCTGTCCAAAGCGAACTTTCAACCCTAAAAATGTATTGGTTTATGTGTAACTTATGCCGTCGAGGCTAATTGCTAGGACATGGCTATTATTGTTATGCTATCAGACATTTACAGCACCAAGTCCCAAGGGATTTTTGAGATTATTTTAGCGTTAACTGGCCGTTATCAAATTGCTATTCATGTGCTATCCAGCATGGCATTTAGGATTAATCTGGCCACATTTTCACAACCTAGTCGTGATGTCAGGCCCCCCCAAAGAACGCACAGCGGGCCGTGTCCTCGATTAAAGTAGTTTAACTTATTTTTTGCATTAAAGCAATCGGTTTTGACTGCTTAGACGCCAATATGAGATGCATTCACCCAATTTCGTTTAAGGTGATGAAGGACTGGTAGAACAAGAATTTTCCCACAATCATATGAGTAGAACTGACGTTTCCATTCAATTTCACATAGTCTTGCTTTCCCAAAAGTTGTTCACATCCAAACAGAAGTGGAATGCAGTTTCGACCTCGCATCGGTCTTATCAGCCTCCTCAGCGGGACTCGAACCGTGACAGTGCAGAATGGGAGCTTGACACAGTAACCACTCAGCCAAATTGCCACGAGTGCCCTTGGGTCACAGAGCAGATGTGAATTTCAACGAAGGCCAGGCCTTTTTGCCATATCATATTCTTTGGTGGGATTGTCGATGAAGCAAACGTATATTTGCTTTAACAATCGACTACGTTACTTTATTTTTCGCATTTAATTATTGTTTCGAGACTATCAGTAAATCAGTAGTATGATATTTATTCACCCAATTTCGTTTAAGGTGATGAAGGACTGGTAGTAGAATTTTCCCACTCATAACATTGTGGGAAAATTCTACTACCAGTCCTTCATCACCTTAAACGAAATTGGGTGAATAAATATCATACTACTGATTTACTGATAGTCTCGAAACAATACTTAAATGTTTAGAAGCTGTTTAACCAGGTTCTCATGACATATTAATGTTGCCTGGACAACCTCGATGCGCTCGGCTTGTTCTGTCTTTGCTGTCCTGGAACTGATGATATTTTCCAGTGGTATACCATTGATTTGGTACACTACCAGACGTTTCATCGGCATTGTCAATGAGTTTGTAAAAATTAGCACCGATGCATAACTCTTCAAAGAAGCGAGTGAAATGTCGTCCATGATCAACCATCTGGTATTTCGCTTTCCCTCAAATCACTTCGCAACGAGGACAGAAGAAGAAGAGATGCCACGACGGTTCAACAGAATGTTGGTGAAGAGACACCCTTAAATTGCTTTTTTCCAGATTTGTAGCATGCTGCATGACAAAACTGCAGAACCTTGGATTGTAGATTGGCCAAACGAAGTGAAGAAGGTTTCAGATGTACCTCTTACGCATTCATTTCGATTGGAAGCATGTGTTGAAGGGATGCGTAGCTCGATCTCATCAGATAGACCATATTACAGTAGACCAAGGATAACCCGCTGTTGTCTTTAGAAATTCTTCAACACACCTCAACTCGACGTAAAAATGAAGTAGTGACAACGCTCACCGACAATGCCGACCACAAGGAAGGTGAAATGTCTTCGAATGTACCAAGTCCACGTTTCTAAGCTCGAAATCGACATGACTTTAATGGCCGACGACGCAGTTCTTCGATGTCCCACTGGTCCCACGAGCAAGTTTCGAAAACGAGGCCATACCAATTGTCTCCGGCACAGATTTCTCAAAGTGGAACTGTATGACAAAACACGATATGGGACTATTTGCCTCCTCGTCAAGGCGTCCGGTCGTCCGACCCACTCGTTCAAGCATCTTCCACTGGGGAACCCTCAACTCACGAGATGGCCGTTTCGGCGGTATTGGGCAAATCATGCCATCTCAGACGGGAAAAGACGTCGTTACGCGACGCCATGCTGCAGGACTCCAACTTGGTCCCAGTCCGTGTTGACTAGTGTCCACATGGTCGAGGTGGCGACGTCCACGTCCGTCTGGCTCCAAGCCGGCCAGATACCGAGCTCTTGGCCAAAGGGTCATCACGACGTGAGGGCAGTCGAGATGAACTGACGAAAGACCGGAGGTACGGACAAAAAATCTCCCACTCTCGCCTCATTGGTCAATCTCGCAACCACTTTACAGGCCGGGCTTATCTCAGTCTACGCACTGACGGGCTCGAAGACTTGATCACCCACACAGACGCACAGGCTTCGGTAACTAAGGCTGGTGGAGCGACGAGGACACTTATCACAGAGACCACCTACATCATCACTTCACACCTTTTCAGCACAACTACCGAAGTAGTCAAAATGTCTGAAGGAATTTCTGGAAAAACTGACCCCATGTTTGCAGCAGAGCCTACCACGAAGCGCTGCACCGGCGCTCGGAAAGGCCGGTGAGGCAAGAGGCGAGGGGAATAAAAGGGGAACGAGTGCTGAAATGGGTTATCTGTGCGTTTGTGTGTTTGATGCCGTCGGCGCAAGGTGGGCAAAAGTCTCGTGCCTCCTTTATCTCAGTTTACCATGTTTCGCCCAGATAAGCATCTGTCTTGTATGTAAAACCTACGTAGACGGACCGTCCATTCACCCACCCACTCACCCACCCATTCATCCGCCCATCCTAGACACAGCACCCAGACACACCAAAGTCTTCCGACAGTGTGTGTGTGTGTGTGTGTATGCGTGAGGGCGTCCTGGTCTGGCTAAACTTTCCGGATAATCTCCTCTAAACTGTAGCAGGCTTGAGGGCAAGCAGTGACGGGTTGCAACCAAAGCATTGGTGATCGTCAGTCGAAGGCGGAACTGTTGTTGGGCCGGTTGAAAGGGCACATAGAACGAAGAGACATCCGTACTTCATGCATTCTTCCAACAGGGTTCGAGTTCCACTGCCGTCGTCGACACGACGACAAAATGAAGCAGCAATCGTGGTAGTTAGCCCATCCGCTAGTCATTGTTGACTCAATTTTCACGTCGAGTTAGGGTGTGCTGAAGATATTCTAAGCACAACAGCGGGTTACCCTTGGTCTAGTGTGGTATGGGAAGAAAAGTTGGGTTTCGAGGAATCTCTTGTTTCACAATTGTTGAGCTTACTTCCATTTCCTCTTGACCAGCTGTCGATCGGCTTTACTGGAAGATTCATGCTGACGCTGTTTCCGAGGCCATCTCCTTC